CTCCCGTCGGTTATCCGGCATAGATAGCAAGTTATCAGAGGCCACGTGGCAGATTGTTCAAAAGGAGTTTGGTGGTGAAGAGGGCCACTCGTGTGATTTGATGGCGATCGCCGGGTTCTTTGGGTGTTAATCTTTTTGCACAGGACGTCACAATATCGTTCGGTTCTGAGACAACCCTATATCTTTCCTCCTACTGTATTAGTGGGGCCAGTTTTACGTTTTCTGGAAAGTTGCTGTCAGCCCTCTACGATTGTAGTGATGGATGTGTATCCCAGAAATTACTGGTGGCCACTTTTGCATGCACAATCGGTCAAGGCGTGTCGAATAGCCTTGAATAATACCCGTGATGCCTTGTTGGCCCCTTCCAAGAATGGTTGGATACCTCACAGTCCTCTACCAGGTGATCTTTGGGCTTTTGCCGTTAAGTTTGGAGTGTAGTAAAGAATAGAATTTTGTGTTTGTCCCTAGGAACTTCCTATAATGGCCAAATTGTTTGTCCAATCAGTGCGATGTCCGGTATGTGGTCATGCCAATGATTGGGATTTTCGATTTTGTCATTGCCGTCCCCTAAGCCAAGCCGTGCCAGCTTGACTTAGGCCACTGAATCGAGATTTTTTCCCATACTTAATTCAACTGGGCATGAATGCGAGCATTATGAAATAGATTACTAAGTTTTTCTATAGTTTCAAAATTGCAAACTTTAATTTCTCAGTCGGATATATCATGAAAGAACCTCCAGTTAAATTAAGCAATTGCACTAATTTCCAATTTACTAGTGGTGGTTTAATATACTGATGGCGGTCTATTGCAATACATCTCAATTTTTGTCCTGGGTGACCACATAGTAATTAATGCAAATTAGTTATTCATTGACAAATATTTATGTTAGAAACAAATATAGCACAATTCAAGCGTCTACTATATATGTATATATATTCCAGATTTTTCAGCTGGGTCATCATATAAAAAACAGCGCAAGGTTTCATGCTTTTACCATCAAAATTCACTGGTTTTGCATTGTTGGGACAAATCAAATATACTTCATTATACAGCTGGTATTAACTCATTCAAAACTTCGAAAATTTTGTGCCAATTATAGGTTGGAAGCATGTTTTACTGGCAAGAAAACCAGTGCAATAGAGCAATGGCAAAAAAGAACAATGACAATGATTATTCCAGTGATACTAATGCTTCAAATCACCCAGCTAGCGTTTCAACTAATTATGACCCTGATAGTAACGCTACAAATAACCTTAACTGTAATGTTAACCCAGTTAGTGTTTCAACTAATTCTGATGTCAATACCAATAATTGCAGTCATAATAATGCTGTAAATAACTGTAACCATAATGTTAACCCCGATGCTAATCCACCTAACCTTGTTCTAACAACTGGTAATGATGCTAATAACAGTAATAAGCAGAAAACCAAGAAAATAAAAAGAGATAGTTCAAAGAAAAAAGCCAGTGGTAATATGATAAGTAATAATAAAGGCATAACACTTGAATCCAATGCTGCCAACCAGAAAAAATATAAGGGATATGCTTAAGTGGTGGTTGATGATGAGTCTGATCATGAGGGGCACCACCAAGAAAAGCTACCATCAAAGCGAAAAAGTACACCAGCTAAGAAAAGTTTAGATTTTSATTTTGATTATTAACTAAACTTGTCTAGCAGTCTAATTTCAGCAATCGATATTAAGCCTACATATACTATTTTTAAACAATATAAGGAATATGCTTATGTGGTGGTTAACTAATGATGTGGTCGAGGGACACAACCAAGAAAACCTACCATCAAAACAAAAAAGAATACCAGCCAAAATAGGTTAGACTTTGATTTTGATTAACTATCTAGCAATCTAATTTCAGCAATCAATATTACCACCATTTTCATAACTACGCGCCCGACTGATCAAAGTCCGTTTGTCGAGTTTGATGATTCTGTTCCGCTAATCAAACAAAGTGGGCGGGACTTGTCTCGAATTGGTCTAGTCTACATGTTTTTGTAGGTCGAGCGCGGGAAAGTTAGGTAGAAAATGGAGGAGGAAAGAGTTGGAATTCAGCTTCCAGACACTGAAGAAACGCAAATCTGGGATGCAGACACTGATGAGGTATGCTAGATGTTATTCTAAATATGTTTTTAACTAGTTTTATGCGCATTGTTGTGGTGTTTGTGACGAGACAATTATTGTACATGCCATGCCAATCGGATATATGACGAAAACTACCATAGTTGACAATCATTCTTCTTTCAGAGAGAAGTTGCACTCTACCTCCAAACAAAAAGTGGAAAAGTAAGTGGAGAACAATTCACGCCATTCATACTGCCGCAAAGATGGACTTTCGCAACTCTTCGAGACTGTGTACACGATTATGTATCACGCGTTATGACTGACGGTGACCACGGAAAAGTAGAAATAAAGAAGCTCTATTTTAAGAAAAAGGGCAACAGTAAGACTATCGTAGCTTTACATAGCGATCATGATATTCCTGCAATGCTACAAGAATATCCGTTAACTTGGCCTGGATCAGGGAAGAAACGAAAGGCGACAATCATCATGGCCGCCGATTGGTCTTACAAAACAGACGGTACGTTTGATTTTGGTCTGAAATCTTGTATACATTATTTTCCTCTTTTATTTACTTTGCTTATTGATTGTTTTAAGTCTCATACCCTCTCATTTTTTTCTCCCAACTCCTATCTTCAGAAAATAAAAGGATCTAGCTAGCTAGTTTTTCGCACTTTTACAGAAATTGATCGTTCAGCTACTACTCCCCGAAGATCACCTCGTGTAGCGGCCCGCCGTCGCGAACGGGAAACGGAAGCGTTTGTCTTCCCATTTGCAAGAGAGAAAAACAAGGATGCGAAGCTGTCGAATACCTCTGTTGTTTTACATGGGTTAGTGGCGGGACAGATTACTTTGGATGGCTTGAAGAACATGCTCAAGACCATGGACCCTAGTTCCTCCACGGTATTTGTTCCGTCAAACGGACTATGTTGGATAAGAAAGGGAAACAAGCAATTAGTAGCATTGAATACAGACGATGATTTGAGATGTTGCTTCGAAGAGTACAAGGACGCGAAAGGACATGCCAAAGCAATACGAATAGCTTGTGCTGCTGTTAGTACGACTGGATCAGGTAAGATTTGACACACTACGTTCATTTGCCCTTGCAGCTGCTTTTTATATCGTATTTTATTTTGCTATACACTTCAATTTGACAAAAAGATGAAGATTCATGTACTATCTAGATAAGTAATGTTCCAAACAATAATTACGAGTTGTTTTGTTATCTGGTTGTAACGAGACAGTGTTGTCTGGTGGTAAAGAGCTTCCTTGTAGATTTCATGTGATAAGCACAAGTTAGTCAAATTAGCTTTTGCTAGCAAACCAAATTACTAGATATAACATTTATTTATTTTTTAATTCATTTGTTTATTTATCTACAGGYCAAGAGTGTCCATCATTTGGTTCTTTTTTGTGAACACAAGAGAACATTTTATTGAACAAACGGCGAGCTCAGTTTCAATGCCTTGTTATTTTTGCTTTACATTTTCCCTTTGCACTGCAAGGTCAAAATGGGGATCTCACACTCGTGAGTCCTCACGAGTCTGAGACATAAGTCACGTTATCTCTAAAGATCCTTTTTTTTTTTTTTTTTGTAAAACAATATGAGAACACCATTTTTTTCGTTTACAGACAAGAAATCTAAATAATTGTTTGTCATTCTCTTTGATCTTAGATATTTCTACTGCTACTAGCAATAATTCTTCAAACAGAAAAAGATCACTTGACTTTTCAAGGGAAGTTGATTTTGTACAGCAGCCATCAAAAGTGAAAAAGGACAATGACTTGTGGAATAATATTCACTGTTCTTTGGTCAGAGACCTGGAGAAAAAAGGGACCTTGAACCGGTATGGAGTTAAACATCTCAAACTCTGGACTGATGAAATTATTGATGGAAAATCAAGTGGTATTGGGTAGGAGCCAATATGGCAGAATTTTATAGAACAAGTTGGTGTACCACCAAAACCACCACGCCTTTCTCCACAAAGTGCTACACCCTCTGCTACACCTATCACAACTGATGATCTCCTAAAAGCAATGTTTATCCAAAATCAGCAGAGAATGGAGATAGAATCAAAACGAGCTGAAGTCTTTCAAAATTCCATGATGGCTATAATGGTGGCCAATTCTCCAATGCATCAACAACAGGTATTTTCATCTTAGTTGCATGAATACTAATGAGAAGGGATGGGACTCTGTGACATCATAACAGGAAACACCTTTACACATACAATAATGCTCAAGGCAACCCAGTGCATGCTCCAAGAGTGTCTTTTTAATGTTTGATCAGGATATCCCTTTAATAGTTGTTTGACTGTAGTAAAAATAAGGGGTGGTTAGGGTTGTGCATGGTTACACTATTTTGGGTTGAAATGTATGTCATTTGTTGGAATCTTTAAAAAAGCAGGTGTTCTTTTAGTACATGTTTGGATTCTTTCTCCAGCTCTCAAGATCCAGTTTAACTTCAACTCCAAAGAGCCCAGATCAAGCTTACAAGAAACCACTTTTGAATTTTACTCAAGATGACTGCTGCACATTGTTGAGGAAATCAAATCTGTCCCATCTTAGAGCAGAGGTGGATGGATCGTTGTTGGTTTGTCTCTGTAATCCACATATCAGTAATAGTATCCTAGAGGGGCTAGGTATATATGCAGAGAGTGAAAAAGAAGCAGTCATTCATGCTGTTAAGGGAGAAATGTCAGTTTCTACATCAAGTATTCTGAATACAAGTTTTACATAAGAGACTTCTAAAACATTCCCATGCAGTTGTTGTTAAATATAGTTCTTGCATTACATTCTCTTTATATTTGTAATGGTAGAGTACATTATTGCTATAGCTCTGTGTTGGAAAGTAAGGCTAAAACAAGTTCTGAAACTTGACACACTCAATTTATTCTCATGTTGCTTTTATTTATCTATTTTATTTATCCATTTATGTTGCTTGACTTAATTTCTATATAGGAAATAAGTTATACTTTTTATTTGTGGAATTATAAGTAACCACAGTCTTCAAAAAATCCAATGCTTTGAGCTTGAGTAACCTGTTGAGATATAGTGTGAATACAAATGGTAATGTTTGTTTTACATAGTATACACAGGGTGGCCAAAGGGGGATGACATCACGCAATTCAAATTCAACAGTTCTCGTTTTATTAAATAAAATGACTCACCCACTGAACTTTGACATTTCACGAATCAAACACTTATTTTAGCCCATATCCCTTGTTATCCCTTGCATGGCCACCTTGTATGCAACCACTGACCGTGACTAAGAATCAGTTTACAAAACATTCAAATGGGCGTGAGAATTCACACCTATGATGATTTTGAACACTTCATGAGTCATGAATGAAGGAAAAAAATTATCATATTAGATAAATTTGGTACTTGCCATGTGCATGTTGCATGTTTGGTTTACTATGTTTATTGTTTGTTCTAATGGTTATCTGCTTCATTGAGGTGTAATGCTACTTTGTATTTATGTTGTCTAGTTAATAGTTACCTGGTTTAGGGCAATTTCAAAGCAACGTTTTGGATATCCGTAACATACTTCCTGATTTCTTTGAAGCCATTTCTTACAGAAGTTGAAACAATCTTCTATTGGATTAAAATCAGGTGAATAAGGCCTATAAGAAAGAAGTAAAAGTTGTTTAGAAGAAGATTTATTACATTTATACTGGGCATGTGCTTCACATGTTTCTAAATATCATGTTCCAAGGATGGACCCATGATAATGATATTAGAGATGGGGGATTTGTCCATCATTATAAGATATCATAAGAACCATGCAAAAAAAAGCATACCTAAGAAAAAGAAGACACCCAATTTTGTCTAAGAAAGGCTTTTAACCCCATTTGCCCCTACACTAAAATTATTTAAACTTACGGTAGAAACATTATGATTCCTCCCTTGTTTCGCACTGCATTGGTAACAACATCTGAATAGTGGATGATGCAGTTATCCATTATTATTACAGAATTTGCCTCCTGTCTTGAAAATCTTCCAATGTGTGGTAAAATAAACTGCAGAAAAGCAAATTCATATTGCTCTCTATCATAAGCTCCGTCTATCACATGAGAAGCTATCACTCCATCAACACTGATAGCAGCAAGGACGCTATATCTAGAACCTCTTGTGAAGTTGCCTTTTATTGAGATTCGGCCTGTCCCAACAAGGTCCCTTGCATATCTCCTCTGAAAACAAAAACATCAATTTTACAAAGTCATTCTTGGACCTTGGTTTTCTACATATCAGGTACAGACAAATTGATTTACCAAACTTAATTACCGAAATTATTTACCAATTTCATAAATTTTTGTATACATTAAAAATAACTTTTTTGATAATATCATTCCTTCCCCTATTCAGGAAATTATATTGATAATCGACGCTGAATTACATGCTTGTAGTCAAGTTTGCAAAAAGAATGTGTTTTAGCATGTATCGGAAAGATCAGTACCATGTAGCTAATTCTACTTGTGTCCTCCTATGTAGTGATGTGGTTTAGTCCAACTGCAGGCCCTTACCTGGAAAGTTCGACTGTCTTTGGCAGATTCATCAACGAACAATAACTGGTTCCTAATGAAAGCACTAACTCTATGGCGATATTCTGCCCGATTCCTCTCATCCCGTTGCCTTGCAATGACATTGAGCTATACAATATAGTAATAAAATAACACTTTATGATGGTTTGAAATCTGAGTAATTTTTGTAAAAGTTCACGAGTCTCTCCCTGGATATTTTTGCAATTAAAAAGGGCTATAGGTTAGGTAGCATACTCCTGTAAATGCATGGGCTTTTCAGAGAAAACTCATCCAAGAAATCATCTATTATGTGGCAAACTTGATGCTCCAACAGTTTGCTTGGAATACACAATACAGAATACACAAGGAAATAGTCTATGTCTATGAAGAATTTTTCGTCCAACTTTCTCGTCGTTTTGGCAGGGGAAAAAAGACTAGTTTCCTGTACAGACGGTTTTTCGTTTCTAATATAAATTCAGCTATTGTAGAAATAATTATTAGAATAATAAAACTAACCTTTCGCCTCGAAAATCCAATTTGTCTCAAGTGTCTACTTATTGAGGGAACACTGATGTGTTTTCCAGTTACATGGCGTAACCATTCACTGATTTCGTCCTCGTAGGCTTCTGGATATTGGTCTATTATGGATTTTACGAGCAAAATATCATGTGCTGCAAAGATAAACAAGCAATTAACTGCTTTATCACGATAATGATCACAAAATTAAGCTGAACATTGACCTACCATCTAGCATCCTTGGTCGTCCGCCACGATGAGAATTGTCGTTCACAGAATGTGTTCCATTGTAAATACGTATGATTTTCTTCACAAACGTTTCGCTGACCTTCAGAATCAGCGATATTTCACTCACTCTTAACCCTTCTCCATATGACAAATAAATTACTCTCCAACGTAGAGCTTCTGGATAACTGGCAACCATCTTGGATTCCCGAGGATTCTCGCCTTAGTCCCGCTCACGTTGTTTGATTGGCGGAACAGAATCATCAAACTCGACAAACGGACTTTGATCAGTCGGGCGCGTAGTTATGAAAATGGTGGTAAGGCTATACAGACACTTTTTTTTTCTTTTTAAACAAAAATGCATTGATTAAAGTTATTTTTTTCAAATAACTTATATTTAAGATGATGATGATAATGAATTGAGCCTGTTGTATGAAAGACCAAATTTATCATGAAAAGTAAATAAAATAATAATAATAATGAGAGTTGTTTAGGATGAAGTTATAATTAAATTGATATGACTATGATAATTAGATGAGAATAGTTCTTGTCATCAAGAAACCTTCAATAATTTGTTTTAGAATATATTTCACAAATTTTATTTATTGATTTGATATAATTAATTCTGGCATTGATTTTTGTGGTTAGTCCGTCGATAGACGGCTAACCACTATGCTATCGCGTAGCGTGAACCACTTCCCCTCCCCTGGTAGGGCGAACCATTTTTCGCATTTTATGCAGTTAGTTTTTAATTTACTGAATCTATAAGTTCATTTAACTGTTAGAGCTTTCATTATACATCTCTAAGCAGTGGAATAACAGTTTTCATGGCCGATCTTAACAGCGAAATTGCAAAAAAAAACAAAAAAAAAAACAATGACCAATTGGTGTCGTGCTTCTGTGGGCCACTTCCCCTCCCCTGGTAGGGTGAATTATTTTTCGCATTTTATGCAGCAAGTTTTTAATTTTCTGAATTTATCAGTTCATTTAATTGTTAGAGCTTTCATTATACATCTCTAAGCAGTGGAATAAGAGTTTTCATGGCCGATCTTGACAGCGAGTTGCAAAAACAAAACGGCTGGCCAATTTTTGACGTGCTGCTGTGGGCCACTAGACCTTCCCCCATGGGGTTAATTGTTGGAATCGTGCCACAMAAAAATGCTTCCTGTCAACTATACAGGCCTGATGTTCAGTCATGTTCACTGCAATAAACTTCCGATAAAATGGTGTATGCCATTTTCACTCGTGTATTGCATCATCGTATAAATCATAATCAATTCTTTTCCTCATGGCTCRAGTTGCTACAACAAATTTTCCGCCATCTTAATCAAGTCTGGGCCCAAGTAASAGCGCACGACAGTGCTATCTCCACAAGATAGTCTCATCCAAAACAAACTCATTTCTCATATATTGAAATCTATAAATRTATATATATATTGAAAACGATATTGAAAACTATATTGAGCCTCCTAATTGGAGGATAAATGAGGCCGTATTTTACGGGACATATTCAGCCCTTCGGGGAATTCATTAATATAAACAAACCAACAAAAAAAACGYATTGTCGGTTGTGAATTAAATCAGACCAATTGTGGAATGTATCTTGAATCTCTTCTGATGAATTTTAAGATAATTCAGCYTTTTGCTCATGGGATTTTCAAATTCATTCTTAGAACAATCGAAAAACCATATCTTTGAAATAATCTAATATTAGTTTATTGTGATCGATAACGATCGACAAGGCAACATTGTCTTAAAACTATTTCTATTTCTTTGCAATCACGTGATAGGTTTTTGYTATATATACAGCAGATTTGAAACTGAACAAAAAAGGTCAATGAAAACAGTCGTTCAGAAATATTATGTACTATATATAAAAACGAGCAGCAGTGTTTATTCAAATGTAAAAGTTTTTAATAAAACTTATGGTTCGAATTTTTTTATATGTCATTAAAAACCTTCACCACTAATAAAACCAAAAACTTTAAATAAGATAATCGAAGGTGTACAAAAATTGAAAGTTATGAAAACTGCCTTAGGCCYTTCTGATCATCATGCGCATAATTTCCCATGTATACATGTTATGAGGATTTACGTTTCGCTTTTGACAAATTTTCAAAGTTCATGGGAAATACCCTTTCTTGATTTTCTATACAAGTTTATTTCCTTGGTCCGTTCTGATCACATGGTTGAACTCATGAATTATTAATAACTTTAGTATGATCTCTCCTGTCCTCATGCCATCCATTTTACTTCTTTGGACTAAACATATGCGCTTCTTGAGCGCCTTTAATATATTATATCAATAAACCCTATATAGAAATGTATGATATAAGTGGTAGAATCATATTTTTATTAAAGATTATATATCAAACATCATTTTTATTTTAATGAAACTATTTTTATACTCAAATGCTTATGTTTTTATGTTTCAGATTTTTTTGTTATATTTTTCACAAAGGTTGGATCATGCGGATCACATGCATATTTTCAGATCTGCAGATCATATAATTTCACATTCTCTTTGCATGTGAAATTAATTTGTATTACAACAACATGTGAAAAACAATATGTGACAACCCTGTGAAAGTTTTCACAGGTGTTTCATAGCCATTTCACATGTTCTGTTCCAACAGTGTATAAAGCGCTCTCACAAATATTACACTCAGATGCGGGTAACTGGCACTGACCATGGTCTTTTCATTGTGTGGACTAAGGGACATAAGCCAAGGTATGAGGGTGGAGTTGGACAGAGGATTCTGTAGCAATGTAGTAAATAACATAACTCTGTTCTACAAGACGTATATTTTGCCCTGCCTGTTAAGGTATAGAGATATCTACCAGTGTCCAAAGAGTGAAAGTGTTATACTAGAGCCTCCTGAGATCGCCAATGCAAAAGTTGAAAACAGCATTTGTTGTGACAACTCTAACACTTGGTGGCACCTTCCCTGTGCTGGTCTCTAAAGAGGAGGTTGCAGATTCAACGGAATCATATTGACAGTGCATCCGACAAGCTAGCAGTCCTTGTGACATTGAAGAGGATTTGGCAGACAATCTAACTAATACCCTGGACAATGGTATACCATCAACTGGTGGTTTGCATGYTGTTTACCCTGTAAACCTATGCAGCGTATGTTTAATACAAAGTATTCCTGTGGATCGGGAACACATTTGCACAATTTGTAAAAGAGCTGTCCATGCATGGTGCAGTAATCACGAAGACATTACGAGCTCAGCAGACTTGTGTAAATGCTGCAACCCATGAAATAGGACAAACACACGCAAGCTCACGATCGCATCAGATTCATTTCATTTGAGCAAGTACTTTCAATTACGCAACATTTGTAATGAATAAGTACTATTATTTATAGTTTCAAAGCTACAGCGGTTATGGAGACTTCCTGCTCCCCCTCACCTTACAATCAATGACAAAACAGTAACTCAGGTGTCCTCAACTAAATCTCTTGGCGTGATTAAAGATGAAAGAGTTTGGGGAACCATATTCAGTCAGTATCAAAAAAAATTGCATCAGGTATAAGTGCTTTAAAAAGGATTAGGCAATTCGTACCAAGAGAAACACCAATTGTAGTTTATAATGCTCTCGTTCAACCGCATTTTGATTATTGCAGCGCAGTATGGGATGGATGCAACAAAGGTCTTGCAGATAAACTACAGAAGCTTCAAAATCGTGCTGCGCGAATCATAACCTTCTCAAATTATGATGAAAGAACAAATGATATATTTCATAGTTTTGGCTGGGTACCCTTACAACAACACTTAAGAGTATCGCTTCTCCTTCTAATCCTTCAAATCCTGCCAATCCAACTTCGCCTAAGAATTCAGGGTTAGCCTCGAATTTGTGCAGAATATTCACGTGTTCCAGTCAAGGTCTGTCAAGTTTCAAAATGTTTGTATTGTTGAAGTTGTGCATTCTTTACTTTACCGTTGGTATTTGTGAATATTTAAACACTGATACGAGGCTAACAATGTGCAGATGAGTCTGTAATCAAGGAACGCAGCGGTAATTTGGAATTCGAAACTGGTCTATTGCTCTAAAGTTGCATGAAATACGATTAAAACTTATCATCATATCTTCTATATTACATGTTAGAAACACTACTAACACCCTAACTATTATTTACTTCGATCTACTTACTCATGGGGGGGGGGGGGGTTGGAAAGTCTCATGCATCCAGATACCAGCAGGGAGACGATCCATCGTGGCACCGATCTTTCGACCAAGACCAACCACATCATGAGTGTGAGAATGAAATGCATCGTACTCATTAGACCACCTGCCCGCTGTCCTGTCTCCCTCTTTTTTCTTTGATTGACAAGCACTTCTCCATCTCCTCACATCGACACCCATGCTGCTRCCCGTACACGATATCGATTCCACCTCTCCCCTTACATTTACTGCATTCCTCTCCGCCATACTGGGACACCTTCTCAACGAACTGAAGACCATCTTCAACGGCAAACGCGGAGTAGGTGGTTATGATGCCTAGTGGCRAGCGTACCAGTGGGAGCTGGCACTGGAGTACTTCTTTCATGGGCAGCAAATCTCGCCTGGAGACCGCCAGCTTSCAGCCTCCCTGGGCGTCCATCCCTGCCACGAGGACAGTGCCACCTACCAGCGATGCATCTTKGGGCTGTCTCCACACCAAAGTGCGTCCGTTGGCCTCTCCCCGCCTCCACTCACCAACTGGACCAACCAGGAAGGCAAGAAGTTGAGGATCGAGCGGGTTTTCGCATTTTCGCATTTCGMGAAAACCTGGGCGCTTCCCCTTCCGTGGTGGGAGAGGCCTTGGTCAAGCTCGTRCTGCAGGATCTCTGGGGGCACAACGACTGCCTCCCAATGGCAGCTATTGGCCAGTCAGTATATCAACCACCAGTCACCTTGACTAGTCATATGACTCTTCCACACTTGCTCACTAAGTTGCTTGACACCAGAAACAAGTTCCCCTACCCTGCCACCTTGGKWAGAGCCGTAGAATTGCTTGTGAGAAAAGRACTGGATGTCAAGTAACTGCTGTCCCTTGGTTTAAACTCCCTGCGACTCGAGTTCTTCCCCAGCTTCAGCACAATAGACAGGAGGAAGAACTACACTCTATCCTGGAACTTTCGTCAGTACATTCAAATCTCTTACACTCTGACGATCTCCCATGGTGGCGGCGAGGGCCACCAACTACACTCAAGAGGTGCTGGACACCTTGGAGAGGCGCAACGTCTCTTACTCGAGAAACATCACGTGTCTACAGACATCATGGATGTCCATGGATGCCAGACCAGTTGAACATTGGTCAG